GTCTGTTTGGATGCTCACCTTCCTAGACCTGGAGGGAGGAACTTTAACTTCCCACAGGGCAGGAAACCCTGACTGCTCTTTGGACTGGAGAGGGAGTGGGGGGGAGGAGAGGGAGTGGGGGGAATGGAAGGGTATGGGGAGGAGGGGAGGAAGTGGAAATTTTTATAAACAAACAAACAAACAAACAAATAAATAAATAGATAAAAAGAGTTACCATGGTCGGGCTGGAGAGATGGCTCAGAGGTCAAGAGAATTGACTGCTGTTCCGGAGGTCCTGAGTTCAATTCCCAGCAACCACATGGTGGCTCACACCCATCTATAATGAGATCTGGTGCCCAGAACACTATTTACATAATAAGTAAATTTTAAAAAGTTACTGTGGTCATGGTGTCTCTTGACAGCAATAGAAGCCCTAACTAGGACAAATTTGAACCATGGCTTTAGTGACTTCTTAGTGTCTGGGCAGCCAAGACACTAAGGTCAGAAAAGACCTTCAGATCCCCCGGGAACTGGAGTTATAGGTGATTTGTTGAAACATGGGTCCCCATTCTCTGGAAGGGCACTGGCTGATTTTGGGGGGAAAATATTAATTAATTCACCTATCTTGTGAGTGGGACAGGACCCCTATCTTGTGCATGTGCCATAGCCTGTATGTGGAGGTCAGAGGTCAACTTGTGGAAGTCACTTCCCTCCTAGGTGTTAGATCTAGGGAACCAACTCAGTTTGGTGGCCTGCTTGGTGGCAGGCCCCTCTACCAGCTGAACCATCCCACTGGCCTTGGCTTTTAAAACAGGTGCTAAACACTTTAATAGCCCCTGTGCTCTTTCCCACAGTTTTCGACTCGGTCATTTTTCTGCCATTCTATATGCCTTCTGCTGTTCCTAGTCTCACTATCAACCTGACTAAAAACAGTAACAGTATTTGATTGTTTTGTTTTTTATTTTTGGCAGGATCCAGTTATGTAGCTTCAACAGGTCTACAGGTCTAGACTCACTGTGTAGACCAGACTGGCCTCAAACTCACCGAGTTCCGCCTGTCTCTCCTCCTGAGCGCGGGGATAAAAGCATTCACCTTCACTGGCCTGGTCTAAAAATTATTATATTTTATTATTTAATGGATATGGGTGTTTTGTATGGAAACACATTTGTGTGCCACACTTGTGCCATGCCCCCGGAGGTCAGAAAAGGGCATCAGATCCCCTAGGAGTGGAGTTCACTGATAGTTGTTAGTTACCATGTGGGTGCTGGAAATTGAACTCAAGACCTCTGGAAGAGCAGCCAGAGCGCTTAACCTGAGTCATTGCTACAGTTCCAGTACTTGCATTCCTTATGACCGGTCTGTCTCCCCTGCCTTCCCAAGGCTGCTATCTAAAGGCCTTCTTGAAAAGGCTGCTTCTATAATGTGACAAGAAAACATTTGCTAAGAGAGGCTCCCACCGTATAGGTCCTTTAGAAAGCTAAGTAAGTACATGTATGAACACAATAAGTACATGTATGACCACAATTAATCAGTTTTTAAGATTTCAGTCTTTTTTTTATCTGGTAGCTGAATATCTTTGCATGTAGTTTCACTCTGTCTCCACAAAGAGACTGATGTTTAAGCAAGGCCATGATCAGTTTCTCTGAGCATCATCTCTAGTGATAATGTACCCAGGCTGTACTAGTTTCATTGTTGTTTGTTTTGTTTTGTTTGAGATAGGATCTTATGAAGATCAAACTGGCCTGTGTTATCAAAGTGAGTCTTGTCTCCCGATTCTCCTCCACCCACGTCCTAAGTACTGAGTTACAGATGTGCACAACGGAACGGCATCCATCTTACAGGTTTCCAATGGTTGAATGGCCTTTCGGATGCTATAGAATGAAGACAATGCATTTCTGCCAGCTAAAGAAAGAAATTGTTCCTTTGCAATTTACATTTCTTGTCTTTCAGACCAACTGATGGTTGAGTTCTAACTGTGTGGACTATAGCACTACGTAAAATATTAATTTAAAAATGTGACACAAAGATAAATATTCAAAATGATGTAATGCGTGCGCACACACACACACACACACACACACACACACACACACACACAGAGGCTGACTTTTACTGCTCGATGTTAGCTTACTGCTGGCTGGGTATCATTGCTAGTAGACTGTATGGGAGGAAAAGACCAGAGGGTGTTTACTAGGGCCATGAGAGGAGGGGTGGTATTGTCCTGGTCAGTATTTTTCAAGTCTATGAGGGACAGAGCAGTGAAAGATGGGCATAGGGAGACTTTCCCTAAGTATTAAATCTTCACAAACAACTAGGGTATTGTGGAGCGAGAAGAGGGTCTTGGGGCTCCATGGAGTCATGCAAAATATGTACCCAGTACCCTCGAGTTTATTCCCCTTTCCCTTTGGACTTCACCTTAGGTTAGAAACAAAACTGACAAGTCTTAAATGCTAGTGAGAGATAAAATAATACTTGTTTGACTTCTGGGTACTCAGGGGATCCTGGCCAGAAACTTAGGGCTTGCTCAAAATGTGTTACAAATAAGCCTGTGTGCTAGCCTTTTGTTACAACTGGAAGTACTTAGCAATCAAATAGTCTGTGCTCTTGTCTTGGCTGATCTGAGGCCTAGCCATGTTCATATCAACCCAATGTCAGAAGTCAGTCCTATGAAGCCCCACTGTTTTGATGTGTGTTCTACATTTCAAAATCCCAGTTGCTGTTGGATTTAGTGTTCATTCCTGTAGTCCTAGTTCTTGGGAGGCAGAGGCAGGTGATCTCTGTGAGACTGAAACCAGCCTGGTCCACATAGGGAGTTCCAGGACAGCCAGAGCTAAATAGCGAGATGGGGAGTGGGGGTGGGGGTAGGCTGCTCGCCTTGAGGTTATGTGCCTGGTCTGTATTACCTCTGTGAGTTTGTAGTCTGGTGATTTAAAGGAGGTTGGGTGGAGTATCAGTCACAGCTGCACCAACCCCTGATGTTGTGACACAAAGCCAGTACAGAAGAGGGAGAGGAAGCAGATCTCCTTTGCAGAGAGACCACCACATTCCTGAAGATCCTATGGGTCGCTATTAAGGTTAAGGGACATTTGTTCCATTGTTTCAACGTGCCAGGAACTTTCAACTATTTATCATAGCCAAGCAATCCTCACCACAATGAGGGATGCTATTGCCTCCGTGCACAGATGGGCACCGCAGTGCAGAGGCTTCAAGAGGCAGAGGAGCGCTTTGAATCTGATGGCAGCATGCACTGTGGTGTGAGCAAGTGTCCTGAGGACTCAATACTTCTCTCTAAAACTGATTTAAATCAGCATCAGCATCACCACCACCACCACCATCCTCATCATCACCATCATCATCACCATCATCATCCAGAACCCAAGAAAGCTATGGTTGACTTTCTTCATAGGGATTGATTTGGTCTTTTTTACGCACCACAGTGCAGGATGCAGAAGGTGCCTTGGGATGAGTAGAGAAGAGACTGACTGCTGGTCCCTAGGAAAGAGGGGAGCCGGGTCTAAGGCAGGGCATCCTCCTAGGCCAAATTCCTCCCCAGAGCCTAGACTTTGCACGCTCCACCCCACTGTGTTAAGATTCTGGGAACTCCAGCACCTCTTGGACTTGAAGCCCGGCTGCCTGCGGGATGCAGTTGGACAGGAGTAGTTTTCTCTTCTAACCCGAAGGCGGCTCTCCAGCAGCCACGGTCCCAGGATTCCCCATTCATTATTCATATGTTTATTAGCTCCCGGGAAGGGAGAGGAAAGAAAGGCAGCGAAGAGGGAGACAGTTGGGGACACAGAGGGTGGGACAGAACCAAATTTAGGACCCTCAAGTTGAGGAACTTCTGGAAGGAAGAAGAGGAGTCTAAGGGATCAAGAGCACAAAGTCAGAAGTGCCATCAGCGCCACACCAGTGAGTGAGGATCTGTTTGAAACTAGGAGGTCTTGGGCTAACTCCGTTGGCTCTTGCTTTCTTCGCTAGTTTGTCTAATGGGATAGCAGTAGCTCCGTCCATAGTGCTGGAGAAACTTGGGTCATATAAACTAACTCTGAATTGCCTTGCACAAATTGGTAGCCAAAAATGGTAGCTGTTGTTACAGGTATAGGCGCTGGTAAGTGGTGGTCCTTCAAAAGTGTGCTGAGGGATTGCCCAGGTTAGGCGGGTTGTCCTCAATTGCTGTCACTATGAAGACGACATTAGCAAGCTTTCTTGGGCTAGAGGGCTGGGGAAAAGTGGATGGGCTAAGTGGAAAAGGCAAGAATTGGGAAGAAGCCACAGGCTTTGTGTCTGTAAGGCAGTTACTACTGTCTTTGACAGTTACTACTGTCAAGCCCACAGTAGAGGGGAGTGTCACCAGAGGCTCATTCTGGTAGCCTCTGGTTCTTACCCAGGCTAGTCTCTGAGCTTGGAGGAACCCCTCCATTACACGCAAGGGTACAGAACTTTGGTGACGGCTTGGGCTTGGGTCTCAGTGCATCTTGGAAATGGCCAGTTTGGTGACAGTCGGACTGACTGTGGTGTGTGTGTGTGTGTGTGTGTGTGTGTGTGTGTGTGTGTGTGTGTTGGGAGGTCTGGATGAGGTAGGATCCCTGCCCCTCGCTCAGCCTGAGTCTGTCCTATCCCAGCACGCACTGCTGGGACAGGACAGAGGTTTACGACTTTGTGCAAAAAAGTCCAGGAGACAGAAGAAAGAATTCGTAAAGTCTAGCAGGCTGGAGCCAGGCGGGGCGGGGCGGGGCGGAAAGGAAGAGGCCCTGCCAGGCCGGGGTATAAATGCGGTGGAGGGGGCGACCGCATTAGGCTCCGAGTGGCGCGCCGAGACCTGCGGTCCCGCCTTGCCTCCCGGGCCGCCCCTGCGAGTCCCGGGAGCGTGTGCACGCCTGCGCGTGCTCAGGCCCTTCCTGGCAGGCTGCTTGTAAGATGAGTGAAGAAGCAGGTGGGGGAGAGGGGAGGCAGCAAGCGAGAGCGAGGGGAGCGCGGGCGCTGAGCGGCGCTCACTTGGAGCTCGGAGAGCCAGCAAGACGAGCCTGATTCCATGTCCCCCGCTGCCTCCCTGCCAGACTCCCGAAGATGATGGCCATGAACGCCAAGCAGCCTTTCGGAATGCACCCCGTGCTGCAAGAACCCAAATTCTCCAGCCTGCACTCCGGCTCTGAGGCCATGCGCCGAGTTTGTCTCCCAGCCCCGCAGGTACGTAGCGGAGCATAATTACCGCTCTAAGGCACATTTTTTGACAGGCACTGGCTTCATGTTTTTTTCATGTCGCCCAGAACAATCGCCGCTGTCTGAACCCCTCGCCTTGTCTCCCCCGCGCTCTCTCGCGGCGCTCTCTCTCATTCATGTTTCTGATCCACACGTCTGTTCCAACAGAGAGGCTGCCTCCGTATTAATTTTTATGACCTGGGCTTTGAGGAGAGGCATCTCGGTTGCTTGAAAATGTGTTTTAATCCTGAGTTGACAGTATTCCCTACTGACCGTGCTGTGCGCCTTCTCGCTTGCAGCTGCAGGGTAATATATTTGGAAGCTTTGATGAGAGCCTGCTGGCACGCGCGGAAGCTCTGGCGGCGGTGGATATCGTCTCCCACGGCAAGAACCATCCGTTCAAGCCCGACGCCACCTACCATACCATGAGCAGCGTGCCCTGCACGTCCACCTCGCCCACGGTGCCCATCTCCCACCCGGCTGCACTCACCTCGCACCCTCACCACGCGGTGCATCAGGGCCTCGAGGGTGACTTATTGGAGCACATCTCTCCCACGCTGAGCGTGAGCGGCCTGGGGGCCCCGGAGCACTCGGTGATGCCTGCGCAGATTCACCCACACCATCTAGGTGCCATGGGCCACTTGCACCAGGCCATGGGCATGAGTCACCCGCATACCGTAGCACCTCACAGTGCCATGCCTGCGTGTCTCAGCGATGTGGAGTCAGACCCTCGAGAGCTGGAAGCCTTCGCCGAGCGCTTCAAGCAGAGGCGCATCAAGTTGGGGGTAACCCAGGCGGACGTGGGCGCGGCTTTAGCCAATCTCAAGATCCCTGGAGTGGGTTCGCTCAGTCAGAGCACCATCTGCAGGTTCGAATCTCTTACCCTGTCGCACAACAACATGATCGCGCTCAAGCCGGTCCTCCAGGCCTGGTTGGAGGAGGCCGAGGCCGCCTACCGAGAGAAGAACAGCAAGCCGGAGCTCTTCAACGGCAGTGAGCGGAAGCGCAAACGCACGTCCATTGCTGCCCCAGAGAAGCGCTCACTCGAAGCCTATTTTGCCATCCAGCCACGTCCTTCATCCGAGAAGATCGCAGCCATCGCTGAGAAACTGGACCTTAAAAAGAATGTGGTGAGGGTCTGGTTCTGTAACCAGAGACAGAAACAGAAACGAATGAAGTACTCTGCTGTCCACTGACTGCGGCGGGTGCGGCATCCGGAGGAGCCGGGAGAGCCTAGTGGCATCGCCCCCTTCTGATGGGAGGGACCTTTACGGGACACTCCAGGGTGTTTCCTGGCAGGTCAGGCTCTTTTCACCCCCGAGTCACAAACTTTTCCCTCTTTGTCCTGCTTAATTGCCTCCTGGCCGCCTCTTCCTCCCTTTCCTCTCTGTTCCCACCAAAATAAAGTTCTAGCGCTAGGAAAAAATTCAAGGGAAGGCCTGGCTGGGCTTTGTGCTGTCCGCGGTGCTGAAACTTGCGCGTGCGGCGGCACCGGACCTCAGGCCTTTATCCCCAGACTGAGGAGCTAGTGAATTGATTCCCCTGTCAGACTCTAAAGGGAAAGTACCACTTCATTGCTAAGCGCCATTAGGCAAGGGCGAAGGTAAGGAAAAGAGCGATAAATAACAATATAAAATATGGATATTTAAGCGGGACACAAACATGGAGATTAATTTATTAGAGTATATAAAACACAAGTATGTTTCCAAAGGATAGCCTTATAAAAACTCCCTTCAGCGCCTAAATTCTACCCATAATATCCGTCGGTTTACCGTACATTCTCATTAATTAGCATGGGTTAAGGTGGGGGGAGATGGGAGTTCTGGGCTGTTGACGGTCAGGAGGATTCCAGGCAAGATGGGCCCAACCCAGTAACTGAAAATACTTGGGGTGTCTTGACTGTTGGTGAGCAGAGGTCAGCACTAGCTCCGGCTATCTTCCTTGACCTCCTGGAATTTGAGGAATAATTGCCCTTTGGAGAGATGGGGTTGGTTGATGGTTCCAGACCAGACCAACTGAAGACTCCCTGTGTATGCTCACAGCTCTCTTTTCAGACTGTGACCCAGCATTGCAAAGTGACTGTAACTTCTGGAATCATATGCAAATCCTTCCAACAAACCTAACTATTGCACTTTTATTACTGTGGCTATTGGCAGCATTGGTTTTGTCACTTATTTAACACCATTTTCCCTGCCCATCCTATGTATCTCTCTGTGGAAGTTCACTTATAGTTTTAAGTCACGAAAGAGCAAGACCACAGACAGAGCTGGATCCTTCTCGCTGCAGCCACAGCTTTCTTGTATTTTATTTTTCGTTGTTTCCTGTAGTTTGGGTGTTGCTGTGTGACCTTCGGTTTCATTTCTGGAATAGATACAAATAAAAGACTGTGTTTCTTTTCTTTATCCCTTATATTAACTTCGAAAATAAATGCTTTATTTTTCAACCTGAATTGCAGTAGTTTTCCGTCTCTGGTGCTAAAGATAACTAGACTTGGAAAAGATGTGAAATGAAAACCTATAGCGATTGAACAATCACTCTACTCTCTTCCCAAACAATTTCACACTCTCCAAACACAGTCGACCTGGCTTCCGCTTCTCTCTGAATCTCAGAGGCCTTCAAAGGCAACTTCCTCCATGCTTGTTGACGCCAAACTGTCAGGCTAGTCTCATAACTTGGAAACTTGGAAGCCTGGGTGATTGTGAGTTCAGATTCCAATCCTGTCACTCAGAGGCTAAACCACCTTGGGGCTAGTTTCCTAACTTTCCTATGTCTTCTGGTTAAGATGTTGGTCTATAGAATGAATACCTATTACCCATCTCGTCTTGTTTTTGTTTGTTTGTTTGGTTTTTTGTTTTCAGAGACAGGGTTTCTCTGTAACTTTGGAGCCTGTCCTGAAACTCGTTCTGTAGACCAGACTGGCCTTGAACTCACAGAGATCCGCCTGTCTCTGCCTCCCGAGTGCTGAGATTAAATGGGTGCACCTCTACCGCCGACCACGTAATACTGTTATGGTCAAGACTGGGTAAGACTATATTGAAGGCATCTGGTAGGTGCTGCTTGGCACTTTATAAGAAACAAAATACTTTTTTTTTTAAAGCATTCAAACACCTGCAGAGATGAGGGGATATAGGCAAAGGAAGCGAAAAACAATTGCTTGGACAGAATATTGGAGCCTTTCCCAAATTTCTTCAGTTTATTGGGAATTGCCACCTGAAGGTTATCACAGGACAGTGTGCCTTGGCTGTTCTGCAGAGGGACTGAGATGCCTGTTGCAAAATACCTATCAGTGCTTTGCAACCAAATAAATGCCAACGAATGCCAGTATCCCTTTCTCTTTCCACTCTATATGAGTGGAAACTTTTTATGTGCGTTTGAGTCTTAGAAACATGTTTGTGGTTTATAAATTAATGTTACAGGACTAGGAGTCATCTGCTCATTTCCCGGTGCGTTTTCAAAGAGCTCTTGGGTCCATTGCCTCTGGCCCCAAAATCAGACAAAGTAGGCTTCAACCACATCACCCCCCCACCTTTATAAAAGCAAACTTGTGAATAGCCCCCAGTTCCGCAGGCCTCAGCCCCTCGCACCCGCTTTGCGGAACAACCCCAGCAATTCCTCCACCTCCCTCTCCATTGGCGTCCTTTAATAATAAATGCCCTTATGCCATTACATTATATTGTGGGTTTTGAAAATTTAAAATACGGCTGATGCAATATTAATTGCCTATAGTGGTATAAAACACAGGGCCGGAGCCCAGCCGGGCTGTAGAGGAGGCGGCCGAGAACGTCCCGCGCCTAAGCGAAGCGCTCCAGAAGGACGCGTCTTTGCCGGCTGCTGGGTTTCCTGCAGGTAAGAGCCTTCAAAAAAAAAAAAGAAAAGAAAGAAAGAAAGAAAGAAAAAAAGAAAGAAAGGAAGGAAGGAAGGAAGGAAGGAAGGAAAGAGAAATTTTTCTTTTGTTTTTGGTCCAAGAAAGATCCTGATATTCATCAACTTTTCGAAAAGTTCCCTGCTGTTATTTAATTAACTTTTAAATTATTAACCACCGCAAAAGTTTGGGAGACTTTTGGAGAGGCAGACAGAAGTTTCCTGTCTGAACTGCACTGGGTTAAGAGTTCGAACTGTGCTTCTTCCTCTTGGCGTTGCTGCGCCGGCCTTTCGATCAGCTTCTGCCTGCGGGCGGGAGTTGAGCCCTGTCTGCGAAGCGCCCCACCCTCTCCCTCTTGCTGAGTGCGCCGGGCAGGCGCCGCTGACTCTCCCCTTTGGCTTGCTCAGGAAGCCAGGGGAGATGTGGTTTCCCCAGGATAGTGCAGCGGCCTCTGGCACTGTCCGGTGGAGGTACAGACCTTGCGGGGAGGAGGTGACAGCAGATTCGGGGTTCTCGCTGGTCGAGTTTGCATCGTCAGTAGACCATTTCCTAACATTGTGACCCTGGGAAAGTCGCATCACTACTTAGCATTTGTTGGTGATGACTACTACTTTGAAAAGTAATCTGAGGGTGATTTCCAGAGCACGTTTCTAGAGCAGGTTTTTCTGTTTTTAAATCTCACCAGCTTGCAACATGTAAGACCTAGCTGGAGTTCTTAGGTCGTGTCAAAAAGAAAGTGAGGACAAAGAACTACTAAGGCTGTTTGTATAGAAGGCTGCAGGGGTGGGGGGAGTGGAAGGGTGGGGGACGTCGGGGGACTGGACAGGACGACTCTACAGGGGGTGGGGTGGGCTTCGAGTGCATTTGGGGCCTTAAGTGGACAGGGTCAGGCAAACACTGAATGACTGCCGAAGTGGAAGGCAGGAGTCCTGGATTCCTTAGCTGTGTGGTCTCTGGTTAGTGGTTTTCTCCGTGTGCCAGAGCATGTCTGTTTTGTTCAGTATTTCTTACCTAATGCCCAGCTCTGATCATGACCTAGTCAATAGACAACTGTTGGAAGTTTGGCTTTGTGAAGTGAAAACATCTCAAGTCAAAAAACAGAGTCAACAGGGAGACAGACTCCTGGGCACTCAGTTCCAGGTAAAGGCAGTTGTGCTGGGTCCACTCAAAAGTGGCCTGGTTCCTTCCTCCTGAAATAGAAGAGGCTATACCTTTCCCAATGGTGATCATGACTTCAACGAAGTGTGCCTGTGACGTAGAGCCCTGAAAAGGGGAGGAGTCAAGAAGGGTCAGAGAATGACGTCAGCTTTGCTCTGTCTGTCTTGTTCCCATGCCTGGCCATCCCTTGGCTTGGACTTCTACTGGGGTTCCTGATTTCCTTGCTCTAGGCAGACCAAGAGCAGAGTAACTGGTCCTCCATTTCCTAATTCTCAGACCCTCTGTGCCTTTGATGAATGGAAAGTCAGAACATATGAAAAGAAAAGCTCTCAGGATGATTCTGATGATTAAATGGGATCACATTACCCCAAGCAGGGTCATGACTCTTAGCAGGCATTGAGGAATATTCTCTCTTTAAAACAGAAAAGTTAGAGTGTTGTGAGGCAAATTCAAGGCTTAAACCGAGCTAGGCTCAACATTGCCCCTTTGAGAGCCCCAGCCTGGTCCAGTATAGAAATGAGGGAAGTTGCGCCTCTGAACTCGCTGTGTGGCAACTCAGAAAGTGTCAAATAACTTGCCTTGCACCCAGTGGGGTAGAAACTGCAGGGAGAGGATGATTTTACTCTCTGGGAACCTCCTGAGAATATATCTAGTTCCCTCAGGAGGAAGCTGGTCCAGACTTTGAACTTTCCGGAAAAGGAAGGTGAGGCATGGACTTTCAGAGTCGTTGCCTCCTCCTCCTACTTCCGTATTTTGTCCCTGAAGTAGAGTGCGGGAGCCTAGGATATAGCTTTCCCTCCTTTTTTTATTTTTGAGGGTCTAGGTTTGATTCCCCCCTCCCTCCTATTTCCCCAAGGTGCTCTTGAACCATGAACTCTTAGCTACTCCGCTTTTGCTGGTAGTTCTTGGTGCTCCCAGATAACACCTTATTTATTTACACAGGAGTAAATGCGCTCTGGGAGAGCTAGCTTCTCAGTGGGCTTTACTTCTGCTTCCCAAGGGCTCTCAGACAGCGAGCCTCCCACACACATGCCTACTGAATGACTGAACAACGATTGTATCTAAAATATATGGAGTGTTTCCTGTATACCTGGCTGGTTTATACACTTTACCAGAACTCATTTTCTAGTTCCTACACACGCTGAGGAGACCTGATGGCTGGACGGGCTGATGAAGGGAGGGACGTGTACTGGGGATGGAGCCCCGAGGGCCTTGTTTGGCAAGTGCTCCTCCCCTTTTAAAGCAGGGTCTTACGGTCG